TTAATGAATTTATTTGCAAATTATGATGGAAAATAAGTATTTGGTCAATAACAAAAGTTTCTCAATACTTTGTTGTATACCCTTTGTTGGCAATGACACAGGTCAAACGTTTTCTGTAAGTCTTCACAAGGTTTTCACACACTGTTGCTGGTATTTTGGCCCATTCCTCCATGCAGATCTCCTCTAGAGCAGTGATGTTTTGGGGCTGTCGCTGGGCAACACGGACTTTCAACTCCCTCCAAAGATTTTCTATGGGGTTGAGATCTGGAGACTGGCTAGGCCACTCCAGGACCTTGAAATGCTTCTTACGAAGCCACTCCTTCGTTGCCCGGGCGGTGTGTTTGGGATCATTGTCATGCTGAAAGACCCAGCCACGTTTCATCTTCAATGCCCTTGCTGATGGAAGGAGGTTTTCACTCAAAATCTCATGATACATGGCCCCATTCATTATTTCCTTTACACGGATCAGTCGTCCTGGTCCCTTTGCAGAAAAACAGCCCCAAAGCATGATGTTTCCACCCCCATGCTTCACAGTAGGTATGGTGTTCTTTGGATGCAACTCAGCATTCGTTGTCCTCCAAACAAGACAAGTTGAGTTTTTACCAAAAAGTTATATTTTGGTTTCATCTGACCATATGACATTCTCCCAATCCTCTTCTGGATCATCCAAATGCACTCTAGCAAACTTCAGACGGGCCTGGACATGTACTGGCTTAAGCAGGGGGACACGTCTGCCACTGCAGGATTTGAGTCCCTGGCGGCGTAGTGTGTTACTGATGGTAGGCTTTGTTACATTGGTCCCAGCTCACTGCAGGTCATTCACTAGGTCCCCCCGTGTGGTTCTGGGATTTTTGTTCACCGTTCTTGTGATCATTTTGACCCCACGGGGTGAGATCTTGCGTGGAGCCCCAGATCGAGGGAGATTATCAGTGGTCTTGTATGTCTTCCATTTCCTAATAATTGCTCCCACAGTTGATTTCTTCAAACCAAGCTGCTTACCTATTGCAGATTCAGTCTTCCCAGCCTGGTGCAGGTCTACAATTTTGTTTCTGGTGTCCTTTGACAGCTCTTTGGTCTTGGCCATAGTGGAGTTTGGAGTGTGACTGTTTGAGGTTGTGGACAGGTGTCTTTTATACTGATAACAAGTTCAAACAGGTGCCATTAATACAGATAACGAGTGGAGGACAGAGGAGCCTCTTAAAGAAGTTGTTACAGGTCTGTGAAAGCCAGAAATCTTGCTTGTTTGTAGGTGACCAGATACTTATTTTCCACCATAATTTGCAAATAAATTCATTAAAAATCCTACAATGTGATTTTCTGGATTTTTTTTCCTCAATTTGTATGTCATAGTTGACGTGTACCTATGATGAAAATTACAGGCCTCTCTCATCTTTTTAAGTGGGAGAACTTGCACAATTGGTGGCTGACTAAATACTTTTTTCCCCCACTGTACATATATATGCACTTCATGGTCTTTAGTCTGTAGATTAGTCTCTTCAGGTGTCCCAGTTCATGGGTCTGGTCTGGCTTCATTTTATTACTCTACAGACGGGGGCATTCCGCTGCCATGTTGAATGGTTTTATCAAGCTGGATAGAGACAGTCACATGTAATATCCTTATGTCAGATGGGTAAGTGGGAGGGAATTGTGTGCTAACTTTGTACCCACTGACTTTGTTGGAGCTAACAATTTTGGGCTCTACAGGGCATCATTGTTTACGGTTGTGGGAATGTTTAATGGGGGCCATGGTAAAGGTTGTCCATTCAGATCTTCATAACAATAATGTTGAACAACACAAAAGAAGCACACAGAAAATTGGTGTAGTGGATTTTTTTTTATACAGTTCAAAATGGCGTGAGATCTATATGGCGTGAGATATATATATATATATATACACACATATACAGTGGGGAGAACAAGTATTTGATACACTGCCAATTTTGCAGGTTTTCCTACTTACAAAGCACGTAGAGGTCTGTAATTTTTAGCATAGGTACACTTCAACTGTGAGAGACGGAATCTAAAACAAAAATCCAGAAAATCACAATGTATGATTTTTAAGTAATTAATTAGCATTTTATTGCATGACATAAGTATTTGATACATCCGAAAAGCAGAACTTAATATTTGGTACAGAAACCTTTGTTTGCAATTACAGAGATCATATGTTTCCTGTAGGTCTTGATCAGGTTTGCACACACTGCAGCAGGGATTTTGGCCCACTCCTCCATACAGACCTTCTCCAGATCCTTCAGGTTTCAGTGCTGTCGCTGGGCAATACAGACTTTCAGCTCCCTCCAAAGATTTTCTATTGGGTTCAGGTCTGGAGACTGGCTAGGCCACTCCAGGACCTTGAGATGCGTCTTACGGAGCCACTCCTTAGTTGCCCTGGATGTGTGTTTCGGGTCGTTGTCATGCTGGAAGACCCGGCCTCGACCCATCTACAATGCTCTTACTGAGGGAAGGAGGTTGTTGGCCAAGATATCGCAATACATGGCCCCATCCATCCTCCCCTCAATATGGTGCAGTCGTCTTGTCCCCTTTGCAGAAAAGCATCCATAAAGAATGATGTTTCCACCTCCATGCATCACGGTTGGGATGGTGTTCTTGGGGTTGTACTCATCCTTCTTCTTCCTCCAAACACGGTGAGTGGAGTTTAGACCAAAAAGCTATATTTTTGTCTCATCAGACCACATGACCTTCTCCCATTCCTCCTCTGGATCATCCAGATGGTCATTGGCAAACTTCAGATGGGCCTGGACATGCGCTGGCTTGAGCAGGGGGACCTTGCGTGCGCTGCAGGATTTTAATCCATGACGGCGTAGTGTGTTACTAATGGTTTTCTTTGAGACTGTGGTCCCAGCTCTCTTCAGGTCATTGACCAGGTCCTGCCGTGTAGTTCTGGGCTGATCCCTCACCTTCCTCATGATCATTGATGCCCCACGAGGTGAGATCTTGCATGGAGCCCCAGACCGAGGATGATTGACCGTCATCTTGAACTTCTTCCATTTTCTAATAATTGCGCCAACAGTTGTTGCCTTCTCACCAAGCTGCTTGCCTATTGTCCTGTAGCCCATCCCAGCCTTGTGCAGGTCTACAATTTTATCCCTGATGTCCTTACACAGCTCTCTGGTCTTTGCCATTGTGGAGAGGTTGGAGTCTGTTTGAGTGTGTGGACAGGTGTCTTTTATACAGGTAACGAGTTCAAACAGGTGCAGTTAATACAGGTAATGAGTGGAGAACAGGAGGGCTTCTTAAAGAAAAACTAACAGGTCTGTGAGAGCCGGAATTCTTACTGGTTGGTATGTGATCAAATACTTATGTCATGCAATAAAATGCAAATTAATTACTTAAAAATCATACAATGTGATTTTCTGGATTTTTGTTTTAGATTCCGTCTCTCACATTTGAAGTGTACCTATGATAAAAATTACAGACCTCTACATGCTTTGTAAGTAGGAAAACCTGCAAAATCGGCAGTGTATCAAATTCTTGTTCTCCCCACTGTATATACAGTGAGCTCCAAAAGTATTGGGACAGTGACCATTTTTGTTGTTGTTTTGGCTCGGTTCTACAGCACTTTGGATTTGAAATGATACAATGACTATGAGGTTAAAGTGCAGAATATCAGCTTTAATTTGAGGGTATTCATCCATATCGGGTCAACCGCTTAGAAATTGCAGCACCTTTTGTACATAACAACCCCCACCCCCCATTTTAGGGGACCTAAAGTATTGGGACAAATTCACTTATATATGTATTAAAGTAGTCAAAAGTTTTGTATTTGGTCCCATAGCATGCAATGATTACATCAAGTTTGTGACACTACAAACTTCATGGATGCATTTGCTGTTCATTTTGGTTGTTTCAGATTATTTTGTGCCCAATATAAATTTATGGTACGTAATGTAATGTGTCATTTTGGAGTCACTTTTATTGTAAATAAGAATAGAATATGTTTCTAAACACTTCTACTTTAATGTTATCCATAATGATCTCATGTAGACTAGCATACCAGCACAGTTTACCCACACTGTATCTGCCAGCTGTTGGCTAGAGCGCACATGCCAAGACCAGAGTAGGCACATTTGCTATTCAACGCAACAGTTTTTGTGACAAAACTATCGGTAGAGTTGAAAGTGCAAAGGAAACATATTGAACTTTAGATTTCTATTCGGTCCTGAAAACGTAAGCGAAAAAGTACATTTTGTATGCACTATGTCATCATGCACTGATTTTTATCCGCAACAAGTCTGTTGGGTGGGAAAGTGCGCATCTTTTCTTAATGCGGATTTTAGAGTATTGGACGGATATACTGGATCGCCAATTGGATGGAAACCTAGCTACTGTCCCAATACTTCTGGAGCTCACTATATGTCTTTTTACATTTTTTAAATAATTATTTCTTTAACAATCATCTTTGTTTTCAAAGAATACATTAGTAAACGCAAACAACATAAATCAAGCAATAAAGGTTGGACATACTTTTCTTTTCACAAGATCTCACAACTACATCCATTTTTCATCCAATGTTACTATGCTGAGGAACACAAAAATGGGAAGATTTTATTTAGTACATATACTATATATTGTATCTTGCAGATATGGTCAATTCCCCTCTTATTAACAACTGTTTTATTTGTAAATGCATATGCTCTCAATCAAGCTTGGGAAATCTGGTGCTTTTATAATGTTGACAGAATTTGTATATCTAACAAAATAGATTTTCAGTTTCATAAAAGCCTACATCAGTAAAAAATGTACCTGGTGCCAGAATTCCTGTTGAGACAGGGCCAGCAGTTTTTTGTGACCTGATCTGGAAAAACTCAGGGCCCTTAAGTTTTCCTGGTTAGGTCATGTGATCAAGAAAAAACTCTAGTCCTGCTGCACAGAACCGAGAAATGACAGCATAAATCTCCCACACACTAATACTTCCACATCTATTCAGCTATAGTTTCAACAGTCTCAGTCACAGTCTCCATCGTCATAACTTCCAACCTAGTCTGACTCCGAACTCTTGTCGTAGCCGGTCCCTCTTGCTCATTCAGGTTGCTCTCTGCCTCTGTGAACTCCATCTCGTCCATGTCCTCCCCGGTGTACCAGTGCAGGAAGGCCTTGTGCCTAAACATGAGCGAGAACTGGTCTCCAACGTGTCGGAAGATCTCCTGTATGGCTGTGTTGTTGCCAATGAAGGTGGAAGCCATTACGAGGCTGAGCGGGAACTGTACTTCCGCAGAGGTAGGGGGGCCAGCAGGCCAGAGGTGGATCAACGCAATGCCCTCGTTTGGGTGTAGGGACTGATCAGAGCCTGAAGGTACGGAGGTGCCGTTCCCCTCACAGCTCCGTAGGCAAGCACCATGGTCTTGTAGCAGAAGCGAGCTTCAACTGGAACCAGTGGAGTGTGTGTGGAGGAGCGGGGTGACGTGAGACAACCTGGGAAGGTTGAACACCAGACGGGCTGCGGCATTCTGGATGAGTTGTAGGGGTTTAATGGCAGAGGCAGGGAGCCCAGCCAACAGCGAGTTGCAGTAATCCAGACGGGAGATGACAAGTGCCTGGATTAGGACCTGTGCCGCTTCCTGTGTAAGGCAGGGTCGTACTCTCCGAATGTTGTAGAGCATGAACCTACAGGATCGGGTCACCGCCTTGATGTTAGCGGAGAACGACAGGGTGTTGTCCAGGGTCACGCCAAGGCTCTTCGCACTCTGGGAGGAGGACACAACGGAGTTGTCAACCGTGATGGCGAGATCATGGAACGGGCAGTCCTTCCCCGGGAGGAAGAGCAGCTCCGTCTTGCCGAGGTTCAGCTTGAGGTGGTGATCCGTCATCCACACTGATATGTCTGCCAGACATGCAGAGATGCGATTCGCCACCTGGTTATCAGAAGGGGGGAAAGGAGAAGATTAGTTGTGTGTCGTCTGCGTAGCAATGATAGGAGAGGCCATGTGAGGATATGACAGAGCCAAGTGACTTGGTGTATAGCGAGAATAGGAGAGGGCCTAGAACTGAGCCCTGGGGGACACCAGTGGTGAGAGCACGTGGTGCGGAGACAGCTTCTCGCCACGCCACTTGGTAGGAGCGACCTGTCAGGTAGGACGCAATCCAAGAGTGAGCCGCGCCGGAGATGCCCAACTCGGAGAGGGTGGAGAGGAGGATCTGATGGTTCACAGTATCAAAGGCAGCAGACAGGTCTAGAAGGATAAGAGCAGAGGAGAGAGAGTTAGCTTTAGCAGTGCGGAGAGCCTCCGTGACACAGAGAAGAGCAGTCTCAGTTGAATGACCAGTCTTGAAACCTGACTGGTTTGGATCAAGAAGGTCATTCTGAGAGCGATAGCAAGAGAGTTGGCTAAAGACGGCACGCTCAAGAGTTTTGGAGAGAAAAGAAAGAAGGGATACTGGTCTGTAGTTGTTGACATCGGAGGGATCGAGTGTAGGTTTTTTGAGAAGGGGTGCAACTCTTGCTCTCTTGAAGACGGAAGGGACATAGCCAGCGGTCAAGGATGAGTTGATGAGCGGGGTGAGGTAAGGGAGAAGGTCTCCGGAAATGGTCTGGAGAAGAGTGGAGGGGATAGGGTCAAGTGGGCAGGTTGTTGGGCGGCCGGCCGTCACAAGTCGCAAGATTTCATCTGGAGAGAGAGGGGAGAAAGAAGTCAAAGCATAGGGTAGGACAGTGTGAGCAGGACCAGCAGTGTCATTTGACTTAACAAACGAGGATCGGATGTCGTCAACCTTCTTTTCAAAATGGTTGACGAAGTCCTCTACAGAGAGGGAGGAGGGGGGAGGAGGATTCAGCAGGGAGGAGAAGGTGGCAAAGAGCTTCCTAGGGTTAGAGGCAGATGCTTGGAATTTAGAGTGGTAGAAAGTGGCTTTAGCAGCAGAAACAGAGGAAGAAAATGTAGAGAGGAGGGATGAAAATATGCCAGGTCCGCAGGGAGTCTAGTTTTCTTCCATTTCCGCTCGGCTGCCCGGAGCCCTGTTCTGTGAGCTCACAATGAGTCGTCAAGCCACGGAGCAGGAGGGGAGGACCGAGCCGGCTGGGAGGATAGGGGACATAGAGAGTCAAATGATGCAGAAAGAGAGGAGAGGAGAGGAGGGTTGAGGAGGCAGAATCAGGAGATTGGAGGGAGAAGGAATGAGCTTATTCAGCCAGTTAGTTAGCTAGAATAGTTAGCATACTAGCCATTACTTTCTGTCAACGAAAAAAACCCTCCTCCCACGCCACGAACACACAGAGAGAGCCAAGCTAACGTTAACTAGTCACCCATGTCCAGAATTCCCTTGAATGACTCTGGTTACCAGTATGTAAAAACAAAACACAAATGTAGGTTATAACTTACCCCTAGCAGCTACTGTTAGCTAGCCAAGTGCAAAGATAGCCACTGAATCGACTCAGCCAGTTCGCGTCTTCGCTAGGTCGTTCCAGCTATTGTTTAGTTAGCTATCCAGGTAGCAACAAGCTAGCTACATTTCGAGCACAGTAGCTACTAACTACCTAACGTTAACGCTTCAGACAATGAGGTTTGAAAAACAGCTGAATGGTAGGCAGCTAGCTGGTGTAATTACAGGTACTCTCAAGCGTGAAACAACTATCCACAGTTGCTAATAGTTACCAGTAGCTACCCACTAGCTAATCCAGGTAGTGGGTTAGCTAGCCTCGTGCTTCACCGGGCTCAGCCGAATACAATACTTACCTACAATAATTACATACAATAACCTACGATAACTACAATAACCCACGATAACTACCTACAATACCTAACTACAATCTAAATACATGGTTTAAGCTTTACTCGACACCCTCGACACCATATAAGCCATATAAGCCAAGCTTACCTCCCGCCAGAGAGAGAGAGACATCTGCTCTTCCACTTCCTTGGTGGACATCTTGCCTTGGAACTTCCCAGCCACGGTCAGCTAGTGGCCTCTACGGGGATCACAGGTGGTCATCATATTACGGGCATCAAATATCTGCTAGGTGAGCTCGGGCACGGAGAGGGTGCTCTACTTCTGGCTGCCGCGTGCCGTCAGGGGTGCAAAGCCCAACATGAAGAAGTGGAGGCAGGGGAAGGGCACCATGATGACAGTCAGTTTGCAGAGATCTGCATTGAGCTGGCCAGGGAACCTTAGGGAGGTCGTGACCCTGCTCACCAGGTGGTTCAGGTCACGGTAGGTCAGGGTTTTGAGCTTTAACGTACGGAAGCAGATGTCGTAGAGAGCCTCGTTGTCGATACAAAAGGTCTCATCCGTGTTCTCTAGGAGTTGGTGGATTGACAGGGTGGTGTTAGAGCTCCACCACTGTGTCTGAGACCTTGGGCGAGGGCATGATTCTGAAGCTGGTCATGATGCGGTCGGAACACTCCTTGCGGATCTTGTTTATGATGAGAGTGCCCATGCCGGAGTTCGTCCCACCACCTAGGGAGTGGATGAACTGGAAGCCTTGCAAACAGTCAGTCTTCGCTCTCTTGATGCACCCTGCCTATCACAGTGTCCACCAGCTCTGCTCCCTCTTTGTAGTGGCCCTTGGCCCAGTTGTTCCCAGCTCCAGAATGTCCTATTCCACGGGAACACAGAACAAGAGAATTGTGTGCGATCATCAGACATATATACACTGAGTGTACAAAACATTAAGGACACCTTCCTAATATTGAGTTGCACCCCCCCTTTTGCCCTCAAAACAGCCTCAATTCGTCGGGGCATGGACTCTACAAGGTGTCAAAAGCGTTCCACAGGGATGCTGGCCCATGTGGACTCCAAAACTTCCCACAGTTGTGTCAAGTTGGCTGGATGTCCTTTGGGTGGTGGACCATTGTTGATATACATGGGAAACTGTTGAGCATGAAAAACCCTGCAGTGTTGCAGTTCTTGACATAAACCGGTGTGCCTGGCTATTACTAACATATTCCGTTCAAAGGCACTTAAATCTGACGGCGCGCGGCAGCCAGAAGTACAGCACCCTCTCCGTGCCCGAGCTCACCTAGATAATACGTTCACAATTAACTGAAGAACTCTTTATTTTCAACTATCTCAATTTCTCTAATTTGCCTCGTTGAAGTAGACACTGAGTCTCTCCAATTGAAGAGGATCATCCCCCTCATACATTCCTGTAGCACTGATTCCATGTACCTCGCTGATCACCTCACAAAACTGTAAAGACATATGTACAGTGCCTTCAGAAAATATTCATACCCCTTGACTTATTCCACATGTTGTGTTACAGCCTGAATTCGAAATGGATTAAATGTAACACATTTATTGAAAATAAAATCTAGAAATATCTAATTTACAGAAGTATTCACACCCCTGAGTCAATAAATTGTAGAAGCACCTTTGGCGGCGATTACAGCTTTTAGTCGTCTTGGGTGTCTGTATCAGCTTTGCACATATGGATTTGTGGATTTTCTCCCATTCATCCTTGCAGATTTTCTCAAGCTCTGTTAAGTTAGATGGGGAGCAGCAGTGAACAGCAATCTTCAAGTCTTTCTGTGGAATTCAAGTCTGGGCTTTGGCTGGGCCACTCAAGGACTTTCACGTTCTTGTTCTGAAGCCATTCCTGCGTTGCTTTGGCTGTAAGCTTGGGGTCATTGTCCTGTTGGAACGTAAATCTTCGCTCCCAGTCTAAGGTCATTTGCACTCTGAAGCAGGTTCTCATCAAGGATTTGCCTGTATTTGGCTTCATTCATTGTTCCCTCTATCCTTACCAGTCTCCCAGTCCCTGCAGCTGAAAAGCATCCCCATTTCATGATGCTGTTGCCACCATGCTTCACGGTAGGGATGGTGTTAGACAGGTGATGAGCTGTGCCTGGTTTTCTCCAGACATAGCGCTTGGCATTCAGGCCAAAGAGTTACATTTGTGTCTCATCAGACCAGAAAATCTTTTGCCTTTACGATCTGTCTTTCACATGCATTTTTGCAAACTCCAGGCTTCCGTCTGGCCACTCCCATAAAGCCCTGATTGGTGAAGTGCTGTAGAGGGTGGACTCTGGGGACTCTGGGGTAGGTGACTGGATGGTGAGCACCCGGTTTGAATCACGACGTACAAGATAACTGTGGAATTTGACTTTGGACACAAATGTAATTTTTTTTGTGTTCGATCATAGCATTCCGTTTTGGAAGTGAACGCAGTGGCGCGTTTGGTTGGCGGATCTGCACAGCTGTACTGAGACTGAGGTAGGCATGGCAGGTAGCTGAGATGGGAGTAAGTCTGAGATGGATGAAGGTAGTAGGATCAGTGATGAGTCTACCTACATGACAGTACAGAAAGAAATAGGAAAAGGTTCAGAAAAGGGGATGAGGGTGGATTTTCCACAGCAAACAGGCAGGGAGATGAGGTACAGGAGAATAAAGTAGTGGTGGTTTGCTCTGAGCCAACCAGTAAAATGTTACATCCGATAACGGATTAAGTGTCAGCGCATGGAACATGTAGCTAGCGTCTGTAAGGGGAAGAGACGTTGTGCGAAGTGTGGGGGACCACATGAATATGGCAAGTATGTGGTGGAGGCCAAGGCAAGGTGCTGTAACTGCGGCGGGGAACATAGTGCTGCGTTCGGGGGATGTATAGCACAGAAGCAGGAAGCAGAGGTACAGGTAAGATCACAAACAAGGTAAAGTATGCTGAAGCAGCACGGAGAGTTCAAAGTACAGAACCTGTGAGTAAATTGGTGCAGCGGCCTCCAATGGAAGGGGGAGGTGAGGGAGTAGCACATTTACATTTACATCATTTAGCAGACGCTCTTATCCAGAGCGACTTACAAATTGGTGCATTCAACTTATGATAGCCAGTGGGACAACCACTTTTCTTCTTTTTTTTATGGGGGGGGGGGGGGGTAGAAGGATTACTTTATACTATTCCAGGTATTCCTTAAAGAGGTAGGGTTTCAAGTGTCTCTCCTGGCGTCGTGGGGGAGCTTGTTCCACCATTGGGGTGCCAGAGCAGCGAATAGCTTTGACTGGGCTGAGCGGGAACTGTGCTTCCGTAGAGGTAGGGGAGGTAGCAGGCCAGAGGTGGATGAACGTGGTGCCCTCGTTTGGGTGTAGGGTTTGATAAGGTTGAAGGTAAGGAGGTGCCGTTCCCCTCACAGCTCCGTAGGCAAGCACCATGGTCTTGTAGTAGATGCGAGCCTCAACTGGAAGCCACATGACATGAGAGAACTTGGGAAGGTTGAACACCAGACGTGCTGCAGCGTTCTGGATAAGATGTAGGGGTTTAATGGCACAGGCAGGGAGCCCAGCCAACAGCGAGTTGCAGTAATCCAGACGGGAGATGACAAGTGCCTGGATTAGGACCTGTGCCACTTTCTGTGTAGCACAAACTGGGGTTTACACGAAATGTGACCATCAGTGTGCGGTCACAAAATAATCGTTGGTGGTGAACAGGGTGGACTTCTTGGCATTCATGTGTAGTGTGTTGAATATTAGTAATCAGGTTAAGAAAAAGTCTGCACACATAGAAGTGGTGGTACGCGCGGCCAAAGATTTCCTGGGAATTACAGAAGCAACTGGAGTAATGATGCATGAGATGTTGAATCAGCCAAGAGGTGGTTGGAACAACCTATTTACTATGGTTTTTGCAGTCCTTCAATGGAACGCTAGAAGCTTAATAGCTAACGGGCAGGAGTTTAAGAAGTATGTATATGATATGGCGGTAGTACCAGATGTACTGTGTGTCCAAGAAACATGGCTCAAACCTCAACTGGAGATTGTGATTCTGGGATTCAGTTTGGTATGATGTGATAGAGTCAGGTGGGGGTTGTGCGACGTTCGTTATAGAGGGGATGGCGTACAGAGTATTGGAGATACAGGAATTGGAATGTGTGGGGATAGAAATATGTAGGAATAGAGGTAACATTGTAATAGTTAATTTCTATAACCCCTGCAAACCTCTCATGTTAGCACTGTTAGAAGGGATTGATAGGACGTGGTGTGGTGATTTTAATACCCATAATTAAATCTGGGGAAGTATGCATAAAGATAACAATGGGAGTATAGTTGAAGAATTTATGGATAACAGGGGATTAGTATGTGTTAATGATGGGAGGGGGACGATAATTCATGTGGTGACGGTTACAGAGTCATGCTTGGACTTGACATTGGTATCTGCGGCGGTGGCAGGGAGGTGTGAATGGGAAGTGATGAGAGAAACCACGGTAGGGAGTGATCATTTTCTGGTTCGATGTAAGTTCAATGAGGATGTGTGGATGCAGAGTAGAGGCAATAACATGACTTGATGTTTTGAGAAAGCTAACTGGAAGATGTTCAAGTACCTGTGCGAGTGGGCGGGACAAAAGTTATCAATTGAGGGGTCTGTGGATGAGTGCGCTGAGGCAGTAACGTCTGTAATTAGATCAGCTGCAGATGTGACTGTTCCAGTGTGATCTGGGGGGAGGAAGACGGCGGGTGGTGCAATGGTGGACAGATGAGTGCTCAAAGGTGGTGCAGGAAAAGGGTACGCAAGAATGGCTTGACAGAAAGGAATCTCATGGAGTATCAAAGGAAGAGAGCGATGGCGAGAAGAACAATTTTAAATAGTGAAAAGGGAGGCATGGCAGGAATTAGGGGAGTCAGGAGAAGCTATGGATGCAGAGTTTTCTATGTATGAGATGACAAGGGCGTTGGAAGGATGCTGGCGGACTGCTCCTGGAGAAGATGGTGTGTTATATGATGTTTAAGCATGCACCGAACAGGTTGTTGGAAGCAGTGTTAGGGTTGTATAATAAGGTGTGGAGGACTGGGGTGATACCTGCTGGTTGGAAACGTGTGGTGGTGTTGCTGTTTGTAAAACCAGGTAACAGTCCCGCTAGGGCGGGCAGTTATAGGCCTATCGCGTTGACATCCAATAAAGATGATAGTGAGTAGGATGATGTATTTCTTGGAAGTTAGGGGTTTGTTGAGCGTAGCACAGAGTGGGTTCGGGAGAGGGAGGTCTGCCATGGATGCCCTGGTGACAGTTAGTACAGAGATAGCCAAGGCCCTGACTATAAAAGAGGTGATGAGTGTTGTGTATCTTGACATTGAGAAAGCTTACGATACCATGTGGAGGGAAGGGTTGTTGATCAAGTTGAGTGCATTGGGCATTGGGGGACGTCTGTATAACTGGATCATGGACTTCCTGCTCGATCGGTTCATGAGGGTGGGGTCAGAATTGTCAATGTGGTTTGAAGTGGACAATTGTACTCCTCAGGGAAGTGTGGTTAGTCCGGTGTTGTTCACCCTGATGATAGATTACATATTTAAGAAGGTGGGGCAGGGAGTGGGTGTGGCCTTGTATGCTGATGATGGGACTGTATGGAAGAGAGGTGGGAATGTGAAATATGTGATGAGGAAGATGCAAGAAGCTGTGGGAGTTGTGGAAGATTGGTCTCTAACATGGGGGTTTAGGATGTCTGTGGCAAAGTCCTGTTTTATGGTGTTTTCTAGGAGGAATGTTAAAGATTTTAGGCTGCAAATATATACGGTCATGATATAGGTAGGGTGTCTGAGTTTAAGTATTTAGGTATGTGGTTTGATGAGAGGCTTATGTGGAGAAACATGTTGAGTATATTGAAATTAAGTGTAAGAAGGTGCTGAACCTCATGAGGGCAGTGGCAGGATATGATTGGGGGTCGGATAGACAAACACTGTTGCGAATGTCAGGCATTGATCAGGTCATCTTTGGATTATGGGTGCTTTGTATATGGATCGGCAGCCAGAACGGTACTACAGCGCCTGGATAGGATACAGTCAAGGGCCCTGAGATTGTGTGTGGGTGCCTTCAGGACCACACCTGTTGAGGCATTGCAGGTGGATATGGGGAGCTGCCACTGAGGATAAGGCGGTCCCGTGTGTGTCAGTTGGTAGACCACGGCACTTGCAATGCCAGGGTTGTGGGTTTGATTCCGACGGGGGGACCAGTAAATGAAAATGTATGCACTCACTACTGTAAATCGCTCTGGACATGAGTGTCTGCTAAATGACTCAACTGTAAATAAAACAAAATAAACTTGCATTAGCGTCATGGCAACTGGGGAATGTTGGGAGCAGAGGGCGTACGGGTGGACAATTGGGCACAAAGTGGTAGAATATGAACTGAGAGATAGGGCCGGATAGGGGAGACTTGTTTGTGGAGATGATGGTGCTGTTAATGGGATTGGAGAGGATGGGAGTGGTGATAAGCTTTTGTTGGGTTCCCGTGTGGGTGTGGAGGGTAATGTGAAGGCTGATGTTGTGGCTAAGAGTGCAGTGAGGAGAGGGGGCCCGTTGGGCGGTAGGAAGTCAAGTCCTTGATCTGGGCAAAAGGGCTCGGGATGCTAGTAGTAAGGGGAGGCAATTTTATCACGTGCACTGATAAGAGGTGGGGAGTATGGGATGTAGGAGAGAGGAAGTTGTGTGGAGTAGACTACGGCTTGGGCACATAGGTTTGAATGCCACGTTGTGGATGATAAGAAGACATGAAACAGGTCTGTGTGATGAGTGTTCAGTGGAGGAAACCGTGGAGCATGTGTTGATATTTTGTGAACTGTATGACGTAGATGGGGAGAGACTGTGTGAAAGGGGTAGAGATGCTGGACGGGGTTGGGGTTTGGGTGGTGTAGTGGGGGGAGGGAAGTTGTGTCTAGGGCTCTATTTCACTTTCTTAGAGGAACAGGACTATTGAAGATAATTTAATGTAGGTAGGCCATGACTGGCCTCACACTCCAGTACAGTAGGCTGCGGTGTATGCACCTTAAAAGTTGGATGCGATCCGCCAACCCAATCGCAAAGAAGAAGTGCTGGAGACTGTTGTCCTTCTGGCAGGTTCTCCCATCTCAGCCAATGAACTCTGTAGTTCTGTCAGAGTGGTCATTGGGTTCTTGGTCACCTCCCTGACCAAGGTCCTTCTTGCCCGGTTGCTCAGTTTGGTTGGACGGCCAGCTCTAGGCAGAGTTCTTTTCAATTCCCCAATGATGGAGACCACTGTGCTCTTGGAAACTTTCAACACTCTAGAAATTGTTTTATACCCTTCCCCAGATATATGCCTCATCAAAATTCTATCTCAGAGATTTACAGACAGTTCCTTGGACTTCAAGGCATAGTTTCTGCTCTGATATGCAATGTCAACTGTGGGACCTTACATAGACAGGTGTGTTTCTTTCTAAATCATGTCCAAACAATTGAATTGGCCCCAGGTGGACTCCAATCAAGTTCTAGCGACATTTCATGGATGATGAATGGAAATTGGATGCACCTGAGCTCAATTTGGATGTAAATTAGATATTTCTGTATTTCATTTTCAATAAATTTGCAAACATTTCTAAAAACATGTTTTCACTTTGTCATTATGGGGTATTGTGTGTAGATGGGTGAGATAATTTTTTAATCCATTTTGAATTCGGGCTGTAACAACACACCGTGGAATAAGTCGAGGGGTGTGAATACTTTATGAAGGCACTGTACATAGCAGAGTTGGGAGCCATTCATTTGAATTCCAGTCAGTTCAGAAAGTAAACCAAATTCTAATTTTAAATTCATTTTTTCCTTATTTAAAAGCATTGAGAATTGGAATGGGGATTTCAGTGTACTTCCTAAATGTACTAATTTAAATGGAATTGACCCCAAAGCTGATACAAAGTGAAGACATGATGGGTACATAGTAAAGCTATTTCAGTGTTGCATCAATGGTTTTACAATTCAGCATAATATGATGGACCTTAAGTGTTTCCTTGTCGGGGTCACTAGGTCAGGAAAAACTCTGGGCCCTGATGATGCCCCAAAACCTGCCCCAGAGCCATAGACATTGCTCCGCTCACCCTAATATGCACATGCACTGCTCATATTATGCATGTTCGAGCAGCCTACAGTGGTGAACTGTAGCTGAATCTAACACATCATATGGTTGCTCTTACTATGCTTGTTCTCAGCAGCAGCTATGATAAAACTGCCCCACATTCTGCTACTTCCTCCTTATCTCTGAGCAGAGTCCCCCTTGGGGAACACCCTGTCACTCACACTCAACAAGCATCAATGGCAACGTGCCAGCACCCAATAACTCATTCAATATACACTATAAAATTAAATTAAATGATATTAGGCTGAAGAAAATGGCAATCGGTTTACTTTAATAGGTAAGTTGTGCTTTGCTAATAGTATATGAATGGCATCAACATTATCATCAAGTAACATACCCTACTGCACCTGTTTATAAGTCTCATTGCATGTAAATAAAATAAAACTTTACCATTGTTCAATCTTTGCCACTGTCCAAATGTGTTATGAGAGTCATTGAAAGTATGTACTGTATTTGCAGTGGAAGCAAGATAAGCATTGAACTAAAGCATGTACAATTTCCCCCAAAAATATTTATCGACCCATTTTAATATAAAACAGTTAATTTACCTTAGAGCCGGTCTGATTTCCACACTGTACAATTTGTAGATGTACAATTTCACGCATAATGAGCGAGCTACAGACTGCTAAAAAACAAGGGCCTCTGACATGACATGGCACGACCGCCTCACCAGGGTTCTATACCCCAGTACGGAGGGCATCTGATGTCACTGCTGACATGACATGGCACGACCGCCTCACCAGGGTTCTATACCCCAGTACGGAGGGCATCTGATGTCACTGCTGACATGACATGGCACGACCGCCTCACCAGGGTTCTATACCCCAGTACGGAGGGCATCTGATGTCACTGCTGACATGACATGGCACGACCGCCTCACCAGGGTTCTATACCCCAGTACGGAGGGCATCTGATGTCACTGCTGCCAGGGTGACAACCAACCACCAGGTCACAGCATGTACCCTGTGATCCCTTTTTTACTTTAATTTGCATTGAACAAAGTATGAATGAATATGGATGTGCTGAACAAGTATGATGTTTAAAGAGGCTATATAGAACCTTTGCCTTTGGGGACGCTCTCAAGCCTAAGGGGTCCCCTAAATGGATAAAACTAGTTTTGCATGGTCTCTTTAATATATTGTAATCATGTCTTACGTCATGAAAGTTTTGAACCTCTTTCAGATAAGTTATTGTTTGGATGTTGATTGTGCACTGCTCCTTTCCAAAAGGTGTGGAGTGTTCCTGAATGTTCCAATCTCAGTCCTGAATTAAACCTGCTTGGAAATCAGAGACAAGGTCTGAATATTGCTGTCCATCAATGATTTCCAACCAAATTTACTGAGCATGAGCGATTTTGACAAAAACAATGGAAATATGTTGACCTAAGAGTGAAATGGCTAGCTAGTAGCATCGTCACTTGCTCTGAGACCTTGAAGTAGTTGTTTCCCTAGATCTGCAAGGGCTGCGGCTTTTGTGGATAGGTAATGATGCTTCGATGGTGACTGTTATCGATGTGTTCAGAGGGTCCCTGGTTCCGGGCAAGGAGAGAGACAGAAGCAATACTGTTACACAAAGTTGGTAGAATCTTATTCAAAATGATTCACAGCTGTAATTGCTGCCAAAGGTGCTTCAAAATGTATTAACTCTGGGGTGTGAGAACATGCAATCAAGGCATTTTCGTTTTTTATTAATTTGAAAAATAACTTTTTCTTTCACATAACAAATGTGGAGTAAGTTGTGTAGATTGTTAGGGGGAGATAGTGCAAAGGGTGTGTAGACATTCACTAGCGTCTGTATTTACCAATGATATGTATAAACCCTGGATGGCTGACAGGGGGCGCTGTGTTGAAGCCACCGCGCAGCCATCTTGGCACTCCTCCTCGATTGTAAAAAATATTTCGGAAGCTAGAGAAATGCATTTAATAATTTCTGCATTTGTTTTTAACACGTTTATTCTATTACAGACACCTTAATGCATACTTTTAAATAATGTAAAAACATTTTCCTTGAATTATTTTTTTTAGAGAGTACTAATGATACCACTACAACAACAAAATACTTAAATACATGTACTTTTGTCCTTGAAACATTTAATTGAAATATTGTAGAATTCTATTCATTCCTATGGAGGACTGCTCCTACTAGGGAGTGCCAATATGGCTGACAGGTGGCTTCAAAGTCTCTCAATGGCCAATACTGTACATACTGTAGCATCAGCAATCCAGGGTTTATATATACGTCATTGGTATATCCACCCCAACCACAGTTGAGTGATCAAGGAGGAATAATAAGGATGTGTGAGGCTGCATGTCTCTTTCTCTCTGGTGTGTCCCTGATAATATCCACATCCATTGACATATACCCGCATCAGCTCTATATAGCTTGTATCTCTAACACTCAGACAGGATAGACAGATCGTAGCTGATCTGTAGGGCCTTGGCTTACTACAGCAGCTACATGTCATCTGTCTATATACAGTGGGGGGAAAAAGTATTTAGTCAGCCACCAATTGTGCAAGTTCTCCCACTTAAAAAGATGAGAGAGGCCTGTAATTTTCATCATAGGTACACGTCAACTATGACAGACAAATTGAGCATTTTTTTTCCAGAAAATCACATTGTAGGATTTTTAATGAATTTATTTGCAAATTATGGTGGAAAATAAGTATTTGGTCACCTACAAACAAGCAAGATTTCTGGCTCTCACAGACCTGTAACTTCTTCTTTAAGAGGCTCCTCTGTCCTCCACTCGTTACCTGTATTAATGGCACCTGTTTGAACTTGTTATCAGTATAAAAGACACCTGTCCACAACCTCAAACAGTCACACTCCAAACTCCACTATGGCCAAGACCAAAGAGCTGTCAAAGGACACCAGAAACAAAATTGTAGACCTGCACCAGGCTGGGAAGACTGAATCTGCAATATGTAAGCAGCTTGGTTTGAAGAAATCAACTGTGGGAGCAATTATTAGGAAATGGAAGACATACAAGACCACTGATAATCTCCTCGATCTGGGGCTCCACGCAAGATCTCACCCCGTGGGGTCAAAATGATCACAAGAACGGTGAGCAAAAATCCCAGAACCACACGGCGGGACCTAGTGAATGACCTGCAGAGAGCTGGGACCAAAGTAACAAAGCCTACCATCAGTAACACACTACGCCGCCAGGGACTCAAATCCTGCAGTGCCAGACGTGTCCCCCTGCTTAAGCCAGTACATGTCCAGGCCCGTCTGAAGTTTGCTAGAGTGCATTTGGATGATCCAGAAGAGGATTGGGAGAATGTCATATGGTCAGATGAAACCAAAATAGAACATTTTGGTAAAAACTCAACTCGTCGTGTTTGGAGGACGAAGAATGCTGAGTTGAATCCAAAGAACACCATACCTACTGTGAAGCATGGGGGTGGAAACATCATGCTTTGGGGCTGTTTTTCTGCAAAGGGACCAGGACGACTGATCCGTGTAAAGAAAAGAATGAATGGGGCCATGTATCGTGAGATTTTGAGTGAAAACCTCCTTCCATCAGCAAGGGCATTGAAGATGAAATGTGGCTGGGTCTTTCAGCATGACAATGATCCCAAACACACCGCCCGGGCAACGAAGGAGTGGCTTCGTAAGAAGCATTTCAAGGTCCTGGAGTGGCCTAGCCAGTCTCCAGATCTCAACCCCATAGAAAATCTTTGGAGGGAGTTGAAAGTCCGTGTTGCCCAGCGACAGCCCCAAAACATCACTGCTCTAGAGGAGATCTGCATGGAGGAATGGGCCAAAATACCAGCAACAGTGTGTGAAAACCTTGTGAAGACTTACAGAAAACGTTTGACCTGTGTCATTGCCAACAAAGGGTATATAACAAAGTATTGAGAAACTTTTGTTATTGACCAAATACTTATTTTCCACCATAATTTGCAAATAAATTCATTAAAAATAAGTGGGAGAACTTGCACAATTGGTGGCTGACTAAATACTTTTTTCCCCCCACTGTATATATATATATATATATATATATATATATATATATATTTGTGAGGGGAAAAACCATATGGGGGATTGGAGGTGATGCAGACAATTACATTGATGGAAGTTACAATCTATCTGGAATATTAAAGCTGATCTACCCCCTAAATAATGAATAAAAAATTTATAGAAAAGTCCCACAAGCAGTTAACAGAGCTGAACAGTTAACAGTAAACGGAACAGTTCTGAACAGTTAACAGTAAACGGAACAGTTCTGAACAGTTAACAGAACAGTAGAAGTGAGGTGAGGTTCTGTAAAGGATATTCTGATTGACCAAACATAATTCCAGCATTAAAATCAAACAAAATGATCATGTCATATTATGGACATCTCTGAAAGTTCTCCAAATACATGTCATTTTGAACAGTCACCCGTCAATGTTCATTTACTATAATGGAGAAAGGCTATAGGTGTATTCAGCTGGTAAGGAATGTTTTTAAATGATTATAAATGAATCATTCAGACACATTTTTTATTTAAATGTATTTGACCTAATGCTGTATATATATACTGAACAAAAATATAAACGCAACATGTAAAGTGTTGGTCCCATGTTTCATGAGCTGAAATAAAAGATCCCAGAAATGTTCCATTCGCACAAAAAGCTTATTTCTTTCAAATTTTGCGCACACATTTGTTTACATCCCTGTTTGAGAGCCTTTATCCTTTGCCAAGTTAATACATCCATCTGACAGCTGTGGCATATCAAGAAGCTGATTAAACAGCATGATCATTACACAGGTGCAACTTGTGCTGGGGACAATAAACTCATTGGCTGGGCCTGGCTCCCCAGTGGGTGGACCTATGCCCTCCTAGGTCCACCCATGGCTGCGTCCCTGCCCAGTCATGTGAAATCCAGATAAGGGCCTAATGAATTTATTTCAATTGACTGACTTCCTTATATGAACTCAGTAAAATCTTTGAAATTGTTGCATGTTGACTTTATATTTTTTATTCAGTATACTTTAATTTACCTGTACTTTATTGGACAAAAAAGTAGTAAAAGTGTTGTTTTCTCCATATCCCTTTTTCCATACGAGTATGCATTGAGGGCAAACCCTGAAACTAATAAACTGAGGTTGTGATTTGAACACTTTACTGTACTGTAGTAGAGGCACAATGAAAGGTTGATACAAGTTTGCATAGACTCCTGAACCCAACCCTCACCAAAGTAACTTTTTAAAACCTCTCAAAACAATACATTATTTCACTCTTTGTACTACTTATCAGAATTCTTGTATTCATTGCAAAGCATTCACATATAACAAAAATCTTAAAGCATTCAACAAATGTTCCTGATTATGCACTATGCTTCCCTGGAAATCTCATTCATGTTGGTGATCAGGGACTGGGTTAAAGGTCCAATGCAGCTGTTTACCCTAATATCAAATCATTTCTAGTTAACAATTAAGTACCTTAGTGTGATTGTTTTCAATTAAAATGATCAAAAAGAAACAAAAATAGCTTCTTAGCAAAGGGCAATTTCTCAATCAAGAATTTTGCTACGACTGTCTGGGAGTGGTCTGAGTCAGGGTTCCCCAAACTCAGTCCTGGCCCCCAATAATTATCTGTTATTGGCAGAGAGGTTTGGAACTCTTTCTTATTGGTCTATTAACTAATTTGCCATATGGTGAAAACTTCCTCCCACAAAAACAGGCTGAAATTTCATGTAGTCTTTTCAAACGGCTCTTACACTTAAAAGGCATTATCATTTTCACAATTTTACAGTATTATTCCAACCTCAGGGTGGAAAAATAAAACACAGGAAAATCACATCTTTGACTGCACTGGGCCTTTATACAAAAATCGATGTAAAATGAGAGCGCTTGTTTCCACTCCACCAAAATAAATGCTTGAGCAGGGAAGATACCGGTACTATTAGTAAAATTAATTTGCATAAATAAATGTTTTTCATAAGCTCAATCCATTGTGCTCCAAACCTACCAATGTATCATGCCATTACAATGCACACTTAGACATAAAATAATTATAACCTAATATTACAGACTTTACTCATTAAGAAAGTACAAAGAGTGAAACCGGTACATTTCAGAGACTTATTAAAATATCAGAGATATAAAACATTTCCACCACATGTAAACATTATAGCTGTGTTTGTGGCTTTACTCTTCTCTCCGACGCAAAAATACAAATCTAAAACACTGTAGGAGTACAGTCCGTGGGGGTTTGGGGGGCGGAGGAATCTGAGGGGCTTGGTGTGGAAGGTAAGAAGGGGGCTGAGGCTAGAGCAGTCAGGTTGTAGACGTACAGACTCTCTTCAGCTGGCGATTTTTTCAATCTCATCCAGATCTTCTGTGTCCAGCTTCTCAATTTTCTTATCTGTGGATGATGGGAAATAAGGATTAGGTCATTCTAAAGACTATAGTCTCATGGAAAAACATATACCTTAAAAGAAAAAGGATGACTAGTTATCTGGATAAATCTCTACACTGGACATTAGACTACTTTGGAAGTTTTGTTATTTTGTTCTTGGTTGGCGATTATGATAATTATTTCTGTGTCATATAGCATGCAGAAAATCATGTAGAGAAATATTGCACAACATAACATTTCCATCGTGACTTACTGAAGTGATCCTGGATCTTGTTGAGGACGTTCATGCTGAACTTGCTGTCCACCATGTTGATGGCCAATCCCCTCTTCCCAAAACGACCCGTGCGGCCAATCCGGTGCAGGTATGTCTCATTGTCTGGGTTACCGTCTCTGTCCACCGGCAGGTCAAAGTTTATCACCACGGAAACCTGCTCCACGTCGATACCTGAAGGGAGGGTCAGAGGTCAGAAACAGACAGATGAGAACGGGTGGATGGACAGAACATTTTAAAAGGTAGTGTATTCAATAGTTTTCCAAGTAGAGATATACCTGTGTAATGTATCAGTCTACTACAGCCATGTGCAGTAGTCACAGAGTTGTTCTTGTATGACTACCTTAACTAAAAGTATTTCTCTAGAAGAGCTCTCAGGTCTGTGTGTTCTGATGCATGTCTGTGTGTATTGTCCCTGAGTGAGTCCTATACTGTAGACAATTTCCACTGGGGTCAATACAGTTCATTCAATTCAATTAAAATGTATTCAAAGCTCCTGTTAGTATGGTTGGTTGAGTTACCTCTGGCGCAGACGTTGGTGGTGACCAGGACCTTCTCCTTTCCTTCTCTGAAGCGGTCGATGACAGCAGCTCTCTGCTCCACCTGCATCTCCCCACTGAGCAGCGCCACCTGGTGTCCCTCCCGGGACAGCTCACCTGCCAGCCAGCCCGCCGTCTTCCTTGTCTGAGGGAGAATGGGGACAGAGAAGGGGGATAAAATATACTGTCTGAGAGGAACACCACATCCTAAATCAACCCCCTACCCACTTGAAACCGCTCCCCTAGCCCCTTGTGTAGATCTGAGATGATCAAATAGTTTTAAGCAATATGGTAACAGGCCTTTTTTGTCATACTGCTTACATCTATTAAAATGTTCAGATTTAAGGCTTGGCAGTTGGGATTTGAAAATGTCCTGATATTTCACATCTCTTATCTGTGAATAAATAAAATATATTGAGATCGACTACACTGCAGTCAGACAGCTCAGAATCACTGATCTACAAATCACCTTGCTTCCCAAATAACTACTCATTATATGATCATGATTAGTGATTCTGCACCTGCAAACATCCAGATTACTTGCCCTGAATAACTCCTCTAACTCACATGACAGAAGATCATGGCCTGAGCAATGGTGATGGCTCCGTAGATGTTGCAGAGGGCCATGAACTTCTCCTCTTTGCTGTTACAGAGGACGTAGTACTGCTTGATGGTGTCCAGCGTCTCCTCTTCCCTCTTCAGCTTGATGATGTTGGGTTCTGGGACGATGCGCTGGGCAAAGTTCCACACAGTCTCCTCAAACGTGGCAGAGAACAGGAGCATCTGACACTGTTTGGGTAGCATCCTAAAATACAGAGCGAGAGAGAGGGGGAAAAGGGGTCAGTGTGGCATGTGTTTTTTTTAGGCAATATCCTTAAACACAGAGGGCAGAGGGGATCTGTGTGTGTGTGTGTGTGTACCTTTGAATGCGTATGCTCTGGTCCTGGTGTCCCTGTGTAGCAATCATAACATCAGCCTCATCCAGGACAAACACTTTAATATTCTTGGGGTCGATGAATTTAAACTTCAGACACCAGTCCAGCATGGTGCCTGGCGTCCCAATCACTACCTGCTCCTGGAGCTGCGTGCCTCTCTGCACTGGGGGGAGAGGAAGAGAGAGATTATTACCCTTTTCACGCTATAGTGCTGACCCAAACCAAACTGTGGGTCTGATATTTAGGTGAGACCTGCGAAGCAAAAGTCCCGACTTTAGATCTTCGTCATACTTCTTATTCTTCTTCTGCCTGCTACTCATCTTACACTGTTCCAAGCTAGAAACGCCATTCAACCTTTAGAACGTGTAGACTGATCTGGATTAGGTTGCTTGCATAAATTTTTTTTAAACATCTTTTATACTTTGTCTTTCTTTTTGTCCATCCATTCACTTTAAAATGGGACTTTTTTCAACATTGTAAAGCAGGGGTACTCAACTACTATTTGAGAAGTTCCACTGACACACATTTCCTAGGTGGCAAAGGTCCGGATGGATTTCGGCCTTTATCGGCGCTGTGGTACAGCGTAGTAACAAACCCAGTCGTCTACGACTTAGGAAACATGTTATATAAAATGTACATTAAATGAGACTAAGAATTTCAATTAATTACAACTTTCTTTTGAATGTAAACATGTGCAACATTGCATCAACATTGCTGAAGAATAAAAGTTGCATAACAGTCTATGCAAAAAAGTGCACTGTGAATGGGCCTTGAATTAAAAAAAAAACATTTAAATAAAATCAAGTGCATGTTTTCTGGAGAGCAAAGGAGGGTTGAAGAAAAATAATAATCTGAAGGCACAGAACGTCACTGTGGGCCATGCAATATGCATGTATAAGTCACTCTGGGCCTTGCCAATGCTTTGAATTTTGGCACAAATTATGTGAGAGAAACTCTGAGACACTGGTGCAAGTGTTCATTGGTGAGCCTGGTGCGGTATTTGTTTTTAATAAAGTTCATTGTGGATAAGGCTGATTCACAGCTGTATGTGGAGCCAAACATGGTCAGGATGTATTGTACCAGTTTCTTGAGAAAAGGGACATCAGCTGCAGGCACCATCTTTCCCCAGAAAGTGACAGGGTCACAAATCACCAGCCTGCTCCTTCAAAGCCACATTTTCTTGCAGCTCAATTAACTCCATTTGCAGTGATGCAACATCTACCCATCTGAAGATCTGTTTTGCTTCTTCTGACAACTTTGTCACATTTGTGACCAAGAAGGGGTTTTGGATGAGCAGCAGCAGTTATCTTCCAACAGTGAAGTCATCAAAGCGAGCCTTGAAGTTATCCATCAGCTTCTGGATGAAATCAACATGGTTGGGAACATCTATGTCTCCCTGCATTTGCACCAGAAGATTGGGGAAGTGGACAAGTTCTCCATGATCATTCTTGAAAAGCTCAAATTTCTTCTGGAAAGCCCGGACTGCTGTTATCATACCACACACTGTGTTGTCCCGTCCCTGCAGATTAACATTCAGTTGATTAAGGTGCGATGTAATGTCTGTCAAAAATGCTACTGTTTCCATATTCTCCTCATCTTCCAAAAACTCAGAAAACTGAGTTGCCTTATCACTCTTTTGTTCTGATAAGAAAGCTTTTATTTCCTCCCGAATGGCCCAAAAGCATTCCAAAACCCTGCCTTTGCTGAGCCATCTGACATTGTTGTGCAGTATTAAGTCCTCAAAACTGGCATTGGCCTCTGTCAGAATGCCTCATATCAGGCAGGCGGTGTTGTCGGGATGATGTTGCTCTCAAAAAGTTGATCAGTTTCATCATCGTCATGACCTCAGAATACTATTTTCCCAGACTGGCACATAGGACAGATTGATGGATGATGCAGTGATGTCAGGTCAGGGTGGTCCTCTTTCAAACGTGCAACCAGTCCCCTCCCTCTTCCTATCATGGCTGGAGCTCCATCTGTGGTGATGGAGACCACGGACTTCAGATCTATTCCCCTTTTTGTCAGCATCCCTTTTTGTCAGGATATCCTCTCCCCGTGTGTGTGCTTCTAGATGTGTTAAGCCCAACAGCTCCTCACAGAATCCCTTCTTTGTTTCGTTATAAAATCTGACAAACACCAGAAGCTGGGCATTATCTGTGGATTCATCCACAGCTAATGAAATGCATGGTGCATTCTGAATGGCCTCATCAAGTTGTTAAGTAAAATCTTCAGCTAATATTTCAGTTCTCATTGCTGTGGAATATGACAGTGGGATCTGTTTGATCCTTTCCCCTGAGCTCATCTTTTGGTTTACCTTCAAGCAAGGTGTCAGCAACTTCACACATGCATTCTTTTACCATCTGACAAAGTTTTTTTGTGTTTTCCCAAAACCCAAGCTATCCTTAGTGAACACTCCATTGCACGTTGTTGGGCTGTCAGGGAATTGACAAGGACTTTGGTGGATATTGGGATTTGAGTTGGTTAATCTTGTTTGTTCAGGGGATACATCTGATCGAATTTACTATGTCTGGTGTCATAACGGCGTTTAACGTTGGCACTTTTCATGAGAGTGAAGGACTTGGTGCATATCAGGCACATTGGTTTTGTGCTAGTTGCGGGGAGAATGAATACATATTGTTGCGTCCACTCGTCGTTGAATATACGGTTTTCAGAGTCAACTTCCTTCTATTTTTAACAAGCTATATTAACAAAGATACTGGTAAGACGCAGCTTCTTGTATTTGCATATAACCACGCGATTGGATTAGACGGGGCACTAGTAGAGGTGGGCGTTGCTTCGAGAGAGAGACCGCTGCACCTCCCGAGTAGCGCAGGGGTCTAAGGCACTGCATCGCGGTGCTAGAGGCATCACTACAGACCCGGGTTCGATCCCGGGCTGTATCGCAACCGGCTGTGATCGGGAGTCCCATAGGGCAGCGCACAATTGGCCCAGCGTCGTACGGGTTAGGGGAGGCTTTACAGGTACACCACCAGTCAAAAGTCTGGACACACCTACTCATTCAAGGGTTTTTCTGTATTTTTATTTTTTACATTGTAGAATAATAGTGAAAACATCAAAACTATGAAATAACACGTATGGAATAATGTAGTAACCAAAAAAGTGTTAAACAAATCAAAATATATTTCATATTTGAGATTCTTCAAATAGCCACCCTTTGCCTTGATGACAGCTTTGCACACTCTTGGCACTGTCTGCTCTCCAGGACACCTACAGCACCCGATGTCACAGGAAGGCCAAAAAGATCATCAAGGACATCAACCACCCGAGCCACGGCCTGTTCACCCCTCTATCATCCAGAAGGCAAGGTCAGTACAGGTGCATCAAAGCTGGGACTGAGAGACTGAAAAACAGCTTCTATCTCAAGGCCATCCGACTGTTAAATAGCCATCACTAGCCGGCTACTCAACCCTGCACCTTAGAGGCTGCTGCCCTATATACATAGACATGGAATCATTGGCCACTTTAATAATGGAACACTAGTCACTTTAATAATGTTTACATACCGCTTTGCTCATCTCATATGTATATACTGTCTTCTATTCTACTGTATTTTAGTCAATGCCACTCCAACATTGCTCGTCCTGATATTTATATATTTCTTAATTCCATTCTTTAACTTTTAGTTTTGTGTATTGTTAGATACTACTGCACTGTTGGAGCTAGGAACACAAGCATTTCGCTACACCCGCAATAACATCTGCTAAATATGTGTATGTGACCAATACAATTTGATTTGATTCTATTTGCATAAAATGTGGCGAGTAGTTGACTCAAAGAGAGAAATACAATAGTTGAACAGTTAACAAATTAATTTATTCAAAAATGAAGGAGAAGCAAGAGAGAGATAGAGATATCTCGTCATTTTCCCCCCACTTTCACTTAGCTAGCAAATGCAGTTAGCTAGTTTAGCGTACCCAAACAGAGGGATACTATGTTAGCTAGCTGGCTATGACTATCCTACACAACACTGGTCCTCTTCCAAGTCAAGGTAAGCTTTTGGTTGTCCTAATCTATTAGCACCGGGGCCCACCGGTGTAACTGCTAAACTGCTTACTGACTGTACACTGTACTGCATGATTGTAGCGGGTTTACTAACGCGTTAGTTCTATTAGCTATGTTGACTATGACCTTACTTTAGCTAATGTGGTGACAACGATGTAGGCTATGTGTAGCGGTTATGATATGATTTGGCTAGGAAAGTATTTTTTGCCTGGTCACATACAGCTGATGTGTTGTGCATTGAAGTCCACAATCGAAGGGAAAAGGTGAGAGGAGGAGAGTGCGTAGCTATGAAAGTGAACTATGTTCACATGTGATCAGGGTTGTATTCATTCTGCCGATTCTGTTGAAAAAAACTTTTCTTAAACAGAAGCAAACGGAACAAAACGGGGATAAACATACCTGAATTTGTCCAATAAAAACTATTGTTTGCAACTGTTGGACTAATGATTACACCCTAGATCAGCTAGATGCAGGCAAGAGTGTGCAAGGAGGTATTGAATACGTCACTGTCCATCCATGTGTCTATCACCTCAAATTTTTATCTCGAGTATACTGTAGTAGTCTAAACCGATCGATGTTACATTGAACTGGGTGAATGGAATATGAATGACAGTCATCCAATATGCTGTAATAGAAATAAGGCCATGTTCATAATAACAAATAATCATCTTCCCTCATCTTAAACGGCACCGACCACCAATGCATTCAGGCTTTCAAATTCTTTAACACTTTTATAAACTATAACTAAATAAATGTGCCCACATTTGCATAAAACAACTCACCAACAGTAATTCTTGAACCGTTCAAGCTAGAGACACCAAACCAACATGTTCAGACTATCCTAACTTCAAATTCTTTAACACTTATCAACTATAACTATATAAATGTGCATACATTTGTATGAAATAACTGACCATCAGTCATTCTTGAAGCATTCAAGATAAAAAGAAACCAAACCAACGTTCACATGCTCAGGCTATCCTAAATTCAAATGTAAATTAGCATATGTAAATGTGAATTAGCATAATATAACTCACCAACAGTAACTCTTGAACCGTTCAAGCTAGAGACACCAAACCAACTTTCAAATATTCAGGCTATCCTACCTTTTCATCTACCTACTTTTCCAACTATAACCAGTCACCACCATTAGTACTGCAGGCACTACCATTATTATAGCAGATTTCAAAACCATACATACTTTCAAACAAGCTAGCAAACACACCACATTCACTTTAGGAATGTACTTTCCAGTGATCAATGGTAGCCTAAAAAGTTGATTTATTACGTAGAACTACAGCTAGCTATCAGTAGGTCTACATACAAACCTATTCTACATAGTTCCAACTACCATAAAAATAATTGTAATGAGCCGTCATCACTAAATGCACCATCATATTTCTCTCCCCAAATAATAGCCTAAAACGTTCTAATCATTGCATCATTATTCAACTGAAATCAAACTTTCTTTACACTGAACGTTTTACACAGCATGAACGATTCAGAGTTGCTTTGCTTTCCTAAAAGTGTTGTCCACATGATCCTGCTTTTAATTTCCATCTTCTGACAGATCGCTTTGTCTTATGTCTTTCTTCTTTTAGTTTTAACATGCAACAACTGTAGTTTAGAAACTGCCCCACAATCCAAAGTAATATAATGGTTGATATAGTGGTCTATCAAAGTAATCAGTTCAATTATTTTACTAAATTTAACTTGGACTATATGTAACTGCTTTGCTTTAAATAGTAAAGTAACATTTTTTAAACTTCTACCACTACCACAAAAATACTTGTTAAGAGTTAAAACAAGTCCCACTAATTGTACTTCATGTAAAATTACCATCTAGTTAATTTTCACATTGTCCTTTTCAGCACCGTTCCGGCAATTCTGGTGGATGAGTAACTAGGTCAGCTCAGTACAGTGTGAAGAAAATAGTCATACCAGTGTTTACCCTACTCTTACACAGGCTGTTTGTAAAATCAGTTAACACTAGACATGCTGAGCATCATGGTGATGCAAAACAATTTTACATGTGTAATTACTCTGCCAGTTTAAAATAAATTTCCCCCAGTCCTCGACTTTTCCTGTCCTTGACTTTGCATTTGTGCAGTTTTAAGAGGACATTGCAACCCTAGTTAAGAGACAGTTAAGGACTAAGTAGTAGACTTACATTTGTTTCCTCTGATGGCGTAGACTAGTTTGACCTCTGAGTAGTACTTCCCCATCTGCTCAATGACCTTCCCTGTCTGCAGGGCCAGCTCATAAGTGGGAGACACACACAGACACTGTGGGAGAGAGGAAGGTGTTAGATAAAAGTGGTATTAGACATCTCACCTGCTAATGCCCAAAATATGCCACTATGAACAATGGAGACACTACCCACGCAGTCGTGCCCCTTTACACCTGGGTCATGTTCATTAGGCACGTTTGGAGGTACTACCTGGAACTGGATTTTAAAAAACAAGCAAACACGTTTTCTATGTGTCCTAATGAATATAACCCAGAGAGGTCAAGGGTCAGGGTTCAGAGGTCAGACTCACCTGAGGAAACTTGTTGTTGGGGTCGACGTGACTGAGCATGGCCAGGACGAAGGCAGCCGTCTTCCCCGTCCCCGACTGAGACTGGGCTATCAGGTTCTGTGGGCTGGCAGCCGCGAGAGCACGGGACAGATCAACAAAGAGAGAGAAGTCGCCAGGAGAGAGGCATGAGAGAGCTTGACGATCGTTTAATGGCCATGCAGAGAAGTTAAATGAAAATTAATGAAATGGGGAAGAGCAAGATAGAGAGTGAGGATGGAATTATAGGGAGGTAGACTCTTGGTAGTGATCTCATGTTTTAACTCAAATCTAGAGGAAGCTCACTGTAAACTCACGGTTCTGCGAGCATCATGGGTAAAGCGTTCTCTTGGATTTTGGAGGGGCGGTTGAAGCCCATGGCGTATACTCCCTGAAGCAGCTGAGGTTTACTGTGAGGACGGGAAGGGGGGAAAAGGACACAAAGTGAGTTTTAAATGCCCAGTGCAGTCAAAAACGTGATTTTCTTGTGTTTTATTTCCACACTATGAGGTTGGAATAAAACTGTGAAATTGTGAAAATGATAATGCACTTTTAGTGTAAGAGCTGTTTGAAGTCTCCCGAGTGGCGCAGTGGTTTAAGGCACTGCATCGCACTAGAGATCCTGGTTCCAATCCAGGCTCTGTCGTAGCCGGCCGTGACCGGGAGACCTATGGGGCGGCGTACAATTGGCCCAGGGTAGGGGAGGGAATGGCCGGCAGGGATGTAGCTCAGTTGGGCCCCTCACTCAGACCACTCCAAGGCAGTCCTAACAAAGTTATTGCTTGAGAAATTGCTCATTGCTAAGCAGATATTTGCTTCTTTTTTACCATTTTAATTGAAAACAAATCACAGTAAGGTACTTAATTGTTAACCAGAAATTATTTGATAGAGATAAAAAATGGCTGCATTGGAGCTTTAAAGAGAGAAAAGGGGACAGGGCACCATGGGAAAAACACATTCATAACACATTGGTCGTGTTCTATAGGACACGCAACTGAATTTTTTTCAGGCAAGTTCAGGTATTCCATGCCCATTTCAGTCCGTTTTCTTCCATTTGGTGCATAATGAACACAACCCCTGTATGTGCACTCTTCACCGTTTATAGCTGGACTGTTTGTAGCTTTACTTACAGCCGCAGCTCCTCAAATGATTTGACAGAGTAGAGTGGAGAGTTAGGATCCCGCTGAAGGACCTCTACTTGATTGGTTGTGTTCACTAGATTACTGCGTATCAACTTATTCAACAACGATTGTGCCGCCTTGTCATCTAAGGAACATAAAATACACCAGAAGAGATGTCAGAATGTAGCAGTCATGAAATAGTACTTTGACAACACCAGTTTGACAACATTGAACATTTCCATGAACATTTGATCATTGAAGGCGACCCAGGCTTGCTGTCGAAGCAAGCTCAACGCTACTATAAATAAGTTACAGTATTCTGTGAGGCCAAGCTGTAATGGTCTGTTGTCTTGGTTGTGCCCACCTTTGTGGTCTTCCTCCCCTGTTTTGTCTCCCTCGCCTCCTTCTGTCTTTGCAGGCGTTGAAGCACTTGCTGCTGCTGCTGTGGTTGTTGTTGCCGTGCTTGCTGTGCCTGTGTGGGTTCAACATGTTATTTGTTAGCTTGTTAGCTTGTATTCTCAGGACAAAGTATCCATTTTTAAAGAAAATATGTTTATAGGCCTAAGAGGCTGAGAACTTATCTTACCATTTTCCTCAGGCTTGTCTTTGATTTGCAGGCTACCAATCTAGGAAACAAAAACACAGTTTTTTGGGATGTGCAGGAATTTTGATTATATTATAATATATTATTACTTGTCATTTCAGGGCAAGCCAGATGCACACTTTCAATTACAAACAAAGACCGATTACTGGCTTTGACTTAGTTATCGAGAACCCATTGGAGTCATGAGAAGGGCTAACTTTGACTCAGACAACTGACAGCCTAGTTCACTGACAGGTCGGTGAGTGGGTAAACATTATCCACTATTCACACACGCATGCCCGGCCACTTAGGAATCTTCAGCTCCCTGGACAGATGGCATGCTCATGGACATGTCGTGAGAAGCAATAATTGAAATCTGGTACGAAATCAAATTGTGTGTAATAAGCGTAGCGTCATGCAATACCATCAAAACAACCACTTGTTAGTAGTTGATCTGGCTAGCCAAGTTAGAATGTTAGCTCACTTGGTTAACTAACTAGCGTTAGTCATCATGATGTTGAGTGGTTTTAGGATTGAGGGAGACTGAGTCATGCATACAATGTTCATTGTTTACAATAAATTTAGGTAAATTGCCAAGTTTAAACAAAATGGATAGCCAAAGAACGCAGTAGGTAGCTAACTATCCGAAGCATAGGCCCATGCACCAACATTTCGGCAAAACGCAGTTCGGCTCGTGCTTACCGATTCTGCCGCGGCTTCTTGTTCGTCCACAGCCTGGGCCCAGGAGTCCGTTGCCATGATGTCAGCTGTTGTTCAGTCACGCTCGTCCTCTTATCACTACCGGATTCCCTATAGTTTCAACACCGAACAGACAACTGAGCTAGAAAAGTGTTTCCAAAGTCTGAAAAATAAACTAATTGTACAATGGCGTAACGAATTCGGCTCCGGAGGAATTCCACTAGTTACTACAGCCACAAAGTCAAAATTCTTATATCGTAAGAATGCAGGAAAACAAAAATTAGCTTTTTGGTCTTGATTTAAGGTTAGGTATAAGGTTGATCGTGTGGTTAATTTTAGGTTCAAAATCACATTTTAAGAAGCGTATTTGTAGAAATAGGCGGCTTGTATGACTTTGTGTCTGTGGTAACTAGTGAGGACCGCTCCGGAGTGCACAAGTACGTCCGTAAAAAGGTCCGGGTGGAGAATGAGATATGAGACAAGAGCGAGCAGAATAGTTCCTCCCAACACCCAACTGGCACAAAAAAAGTGCATTCAAATCTCTCTGATTTGGCTAGTTCTGTGTAGTGCATTTACCCCTAAAAAAATCGCCCTTTCTGGATAAAATGTTTGTGTTTCCGTCAGAGTTTTGCACATTTTCTCACTGACTATAATAATTGCCGATGCGTTCAATAATTTATCTGCAGTAAAATATTTCTCACAATATGAAATACTTTACTCAGCCTATAGATGTCGCCCTAAACATCCTGTATTGGAAACTGGGATAGGGGTTGCATTCAAGTCATTACATCGATTAAGGGAACAGTTTGCAACTATTTGCAATCAAGATGAAGACTTTGCCAGTAGGAATCGATTCATAGCTCAGGTAATGGCTGTGTATGGAATTGTGTTCTGAATTGAATTTACCCCTGTCACATGTACACATCGCTGGATACAAGCAAGCCCAACACCCTGACCCACAGAAGTACACTGACGTTTTTCATAACAAATGCCTTGACTCCTCATATTCCCCAGGGACCTATAAGTACCTAAGGACCCTGTGCTCTCAATTCAATTCAATTCTCTCTCTCTCTCTCTCTCTCTCTCTCTCTCTCTCTCTCTCTCTCTCTCTCTCTCTCTCTCTCTCTCTCTCTCTCTCTCTCTCTCTCTCTCTCTCTCTCTCTCTCTCTCTCTCTCTCTCTCTCTCTCTCTCTCTCTCTCTCTGTGTGTGTGCATGTGTTTGTGTGTCCAACTGCATTGACTTGAGACAGCGTTGATTAAACCCACAGAGAGCCAGAGGTCACCTCTCTGAAGCCTGACTTCCCTGCTGCTGCTGCTTCATTACATGCAGAATTGATTTTACACCTTGCTTGGTCTTGTTCTGCTGGGATGGATGGATGGACAGAGAGAGAGGGGGATGGATGGAGAGAGAGAAGGATGGATGGATGGATAGAAGGAAGGAGCGAGAGAGAAAGATAGAGAAGAAGGAGATATATATGATTACAGTGGCTTTGGATTGTGTTGAGGAAGACTAAATTGATCATTGTTCCCATGTCACTCGTCGATAGTGATCATCAGAGCATGTTGAGGTATCGGAGGAGGTGTGTGTAGGGGCTTTCGGAGCTTTAGTTTGGAGATACATTTATCAAGGCTTAAAAAGGAGTCTGAGTTGATTGTTGCCTTACAAACGGCGGCTGCACTGGAGGAGGTATCCATGGCAACCGAAAGTGTAAAAGTAAGGTTTCCCCTGAGAATTTTGAAGGAGACAAAGAAGAATGTAATCACATCATTGAGACTCAATGGAAGCATTGAACACTCACGAAAAGGCGATGGATGGATAGCGTTTGGATAGAGGGAGAGGAGTGTGTGTGTGCGCGTGCGTGCGTGTGTTTATATTTTGCAATCTTTTTTTTATCAAGAAGAAGGTTTGGTGTCAATTCCAATTTAGTTTTAAATTCCAATTCAATTCTTGAATTCACTCATGAAGTCGAGAATTAACAGGTACCAAACTATGGTCAATATGGAAATAATACTATGATCAGGTTCCCTCACATCCAGTTCCAGTCTGTACTGTTTCCTCAGTCTCATTGTGGAGGTGTTTGGCTGTTCGTTCGTCTGCTAATGAATGAGATCAAAGGTAGGGTGATCCTGTAAACTGGCTGCAGGTCCCTGTGGTCAGATAGCAGGGATTAAAGAGGATTCTCCTCCTCGGTCCTCATCTGCATCCCAAATTGTACCCTATTCCCTATGGGCCCTGGTTAAAAGTAGTGCACTAAATAGGGTATAGTGTGCCATTTGGGACTTAACCCTCTACTGCTCTGTTCCTGGAAGACATGTAGTCCATGGTTACCCCCCCCCCCCGTGCATCTCTCTCTCTCTCTCTTTCTCTCTCTCTTTCTCTGCCTCCCTCAGAAAACATGCACACCCACGCCAGAATTAAAATGGTGATGCAGCAGTTGTTTTCTGTCTTGGAGAGAGAGAAAGAGAGAGAGAGATCAAGACTGGTTGTTATTCCAGAGGCTTAGTGAGAGAAGTGACCGGGGCATACTGGACATCACTACGGAATTTCAATGGCTATACAACATCCCATAATATAAGCATGTATTAGCTAGGGTTTTCACCACTATTCTTCACTGGTATGCATAGAGCATTGTTGCACACAGAAATGCATTTCATAGACTGGACATGCATCTCTGTCCCACATGATAGGGAGTAATTAATCACATTCTAAATGCCTTCTCTCTATCTGCAACGTACTTCTGAAGGATGATGTGTCCCACAGTGAATACAAAGCATGTTCTTGGCTTACCCGACTGAGTGGCTACTTGAACAGGTGAGCACTACGACAGTCCTTGAGGGCCTCTGTGTCTGCTAGGTTTCACTCCTCCCTTTGGAACAGTGACTGATTTAGACCTGGAAACCCAGGCAATATTTTGGGTTATTCGTAGCATTAATGGATAAGAGAGGTGCCAGGGACAGATGAAAACCAGCTGTGCTGCACTATCCCCTGAGTTAGGGGGTTATGGGACTAGTTGATCATCCCTGGGTTAGGGTGTTATCAGTCTTGCATTGGAACAAACTATTCCAGAACTAATGTAAAAAAAAACAGGAAATTAGTTCTGGGGTTATGCAATGGCTAGTTGTCCACCCCCGAATTTAGAGGGTTCTAGTAATGTCCAGGCAAACCAATGCTGCAGGCTGGAGTCTCAGGGGTGAACCGGGCTATAGTTTGGTAAGCCGAACTGTTTCCATTAATAGCTGGATCATGACATAAGGGCCAAATAGCTGCAGGTTTTTTGAATAGATTGAAGCTTGCTTTCACCTAGACCAAGTTGATGCTCCCTGCCTTGCTTTGTTTGTCAGGTTCATGGCTCCGCTTCAATGTCCTCCATCACTCAACAATTTTCAATTCCTTAATAATTTATTGATACTATACTGACAATCAAATTGCATATCAATAATGTAGAGCAGGGGTGTCAAACTCATTCCATGGATGGCCTAGTGTCTGTGGGTCTTTGGTTTTTCCTTTCAATTAAGACCTAGAAAACTAGATCTTTACTAATTAGTGACCGTAATTCATCAATCAAGTACAAGGGAGGAGCAAATCTCCGCAGACACTCAGCCCTCCGTGGAATGAGTTTAACACGTGATGTAGAGCGTTCAGTGTAGTCGTATAGCCGTGTTGATTTAAAATACTTGTGTCTGTTGTGCTCATCCATGCTTGCAGACCTGCAGACATTGACTGCGTCCCAAATGGCACCCTATTCCCTATAAAGTGCACTGCTTTTGGGCACATAGGGCCCTGGTCAAGAGTAATGCATTATGTAGGGCAGGGCAGGGTTTCCCAAACCCCTGGGTGCACTTTTGTTTTTTGCGCTAGCACTACACAGCTGATTCAAATAATAAAGCGTGAGGATGAGAAGGTTATTTGAATCAGCTGTGTAGTGCTAGGGCAAAAACCACAACTAGCACCCAAGGGGGGCCCAGGGTAACCCTGATGTAGGGAATAGAGTGCCATTTGGGATGCAGACATGCAGTACAGTGAGCTATGTTTAGTTGCATGTGGTCTGTGGAAACAGCACATGCATGATTCTTATCTGCTTCACTGAACTGAATAGGAGACGATTCATCTCATTGTGAAAGGGGGAAATGATACAAACCCCAACTGACAAGCCATAATACAAAGAACTGATACAATTGATAGGCTCAACTTCTCTGCTTTTTTGATCCCCTTGCTACCACGCTGTAACAGCGTGAAGCGAACCCATGCACATGCGCAGATACTGTGTGTGACTGTGAGAGAGCGAAGTCTTGCATCTCGCTCATCTCAATATCTCCGGTGCTGCTCGTGGCAATGTCATTTCGCTGAGTCTACCTTTAATTCAATTTTCAGCTTATTTTTTATTTTCTTTACATATTGTATTGTATGCAAATTCATCATTGCATTTTTATACTCCAACTCCAAAGAGGACACCCAGCAACAACAGTTGGCAACATGTGCTAATTTCATCCACATGATATACAAGAACACCTTTCTCTAACGTCTCACTGTCCTGTGTGTTTTGGCGCAAGCCAATCACGCATGTAGGACAAATGAAGTGACCAATGGCGGATTTCCACCTAGGTCACCATATTTTATTCAGGAAGCTCGGCGTGCGTACACAGTTACATGCCATTTCGCCACGGGGCCCTATACACAATCCCTGTTTTGTCTGCGTCCCAAATGGCACCCTAGTCACTATATAGTGCACTACTTTGGACCAGAGCCCTATGGGTGAAAATGATCTCCTTGCATGAGGCCAGAAAGCATTCCTTTCCTGTGGTGTTGTTGTGAAGCAAGCAGCCTGGTTTGGATATTGCTGATTGGGGGTGGTGATTGGGAGTAGTTGGGGAGTAAAGCGGTGGTGGCGAGGGTTGCTGTTCAATGCAGGGGAGAATAAGATCTGTGTGTGTGTTGGTGTGTGTGATAGCAAATAACTGTAACTTGTTGCTGAGAAAGAGGAACAGAGGGAGAGAGAGAGAGATGCATGATGCATATGTTTCCTTATGCATGTTGGATGGACACCTATGTCCGTGCATATGTTCAGGTGAAAGAGCAACTAAGACATGGGGTGAAGTCTGTCACACACAGATCAATGCAGCCATCTCTCCTTGAACTCCCAGAACATTGTATTATGCTAAAAGATATATACTGTACACAGTATCTAAAAAGGATTGTTGAGTGCATGGGGATGGATGGAAAGCTATCAAGCAGCACAGTGTGAAAAGGGAATCTCTGAGAGCTCACAAGGAGAGGTGGAGATAGAGAGAGGGA